TTCAAAGAGCGAAAGTAACAGCTGTAGATGTTCCAATGGTGTCTTCCCATTTCGCCAGTTTCCCACTTCGCCATTTGCCATTTTGCCATTCACCATGGTTCCATCATTGATATGTACGATTTCGCCTTCTTGTTCTTAAAATATATAGTTGACTCCATATCTAAAGATTCGTTATAATTTATTCATTACAGAGGCCTACTTTTAACCCACCTTGAACAAGGGGGTGGTCGGGGAAATGGTTTGTTCCCATTTCGCCATTTTCCCACTTCGCCATTTGCCATTTCGCCATTAAAAATTCCCACTTCGCCATTTGCCATTTCGCCATTTCCCGTTTCGCCATTTCCCACTTCGCCATTTTCCCATTTCGCCAGTTTCCCACTTCGCGAGTTTCCCATTTCGCCAGTTTCCCGTTTCGCCAGTTTCCCTTTCCGCCATTTCGTCCTATCTCCCCGACCACCCCCTTGTTCGAGGTGGGTTAAAAGTAGGCCTCTGTAATGAATAAATTATAACGAATCTTTAGATATGGAGTCAACTATTTATTTGAAGAACAAGAAGGCGAAATCGTACATATCAAAACATCAGGAGTCTATCAATATTGATAGACTCCTGAAAACATATGGATCATGTACAGGCACAAGAAGACGAAATCGTACATATCAAAACATATGGATCATGTCAAGAGTAGATAAATAACTATTTATTTCGTTATTTCGTAACTAACTATTTCGTAAGTTATTTATCTACTCTTGATCATGTACAGGCACAAGAAGACGAAATCGTACATATCAAAACATATGGATCATGTACAGGCACCCTAACCTTAACACTAACCCTAACCCTAACCCTAAACGGATCAACGCTTAACCCCATAACCCTAAACCTAGAAATAGATTATTTTTTTTTTTTTACCAGAATGGAAGGATCAATTTCCGTGCAATGGGTGGAAGCAACATAAAATATGGCCGAAAATGCGAAACTGGACGAAAAGTGGGAAAATCGGCAAATGGGAAAATGGCGAAATATGGGAAAATGGCGATACTGGGAAATGGCGAAGTGGGAATAATGGGAAATGGAGAACTGGCGAAATGGGGAAATGCGAAAATGGGAAATGGCGAGCTGGGAAAATGCGAAATGGGGAAGACACCCGGGGAGATTAGGACGAAATGGCGGAATGGGAAAACTGCGAAACGGAAAACTGGCAGAATGGGAAAGATGGCGAAGTGGGAAATGGCGAAACGGAAATGGCGAAATGGCGAAAGTAGAAATTTTAATGGCGAATATGGCAAATCGCAAAGTGGGAAACTGGCGAAATGAAGAAATTGGCGAAAATGGAATAAACCTCGCTCATAGCGCACGTCAAAATGTGACGCACGCGCAATAAGCCGTGTACTAGCACCAGGTCTCTGGCACATGCTAGATTTCTAATTTATAGAGCCAGTTGGGGGCGAATACTAATCATAGCGGTCATAGCTCAACTATGGCAGGTTTGGCGTCAGGTGTCTTTCCGCATTTCGACCATTTTGGCCACTTCGCCATTTCGCGCATTTCCCATTTCGGCCAGTTTCCTGCATTTCGGGCCATTTTCCCACTTCGCCGATTTTCCAATTTCGGGCCATTTCCCATTTCGCCATTTTCCCATTTCGGCCATTTTGCCGCACTTCGCCAGTTTCCCATTTTCAGCCAATATTTTTATGTTGCTTCCACCCCCTGCACGAAATGATCCTTCATTCTAAAATAGTATGCATTTCTAGGTAGGGTTAGGGTTGGGTTAGGGTAGGGGTGCCTGTAGCATGATCCATAATGTTTTGATATGTACGATTTCGCGACTTCTGTTCTTCAAATAAATAGTTTACTAGCCATATCTAAAGGATATCGTTATAAATTTATTCATTACAGAGGACCTACTTTAAGCACCACGCTCGAACAAGGGGTGTCGCGGGGAGCATAGGAGCGAAATGGCGGAATGGGAAACTAGGCGAAAACGCGAAGAAACTGGCGAAGTGGAAACTGCGAAGTGGGGAATGACTGGGCCGGAATTGATGGGAAAATGGCGAAGTGGGAAATGCGAACTGGGAAGTGTGCGAAATGGCAA